TCTGTAAAGAGCCTTGATATAACGTGTGTGGTTTATTGATCTTTTATAAATGAAATGAACTGAATTGAATAACAGATTTCACAGCTTGGCAGACTTAAAACCAAAACTAATTTGCTTTAGTTAGTTGCACTCAAACTTTTACGCAAGTCTGTTGCCTTTAATTTCAGAGTTTTGACTTTTTTTTATTTTAAGTGTGGTTGCATTATGTTCTCAATAATTTAAACTCACAGTTGTTGCAACGTATTACTTGGCCAAGATTTGGGATAAAACCGGAACAAGCTGACAGTCCATCTCAGGGTAACCTAGACATGCATAGAAGAAACAAACATGCACATAGAAGCACCATAGGGACACTTAGAAAGAGATTGATTTTACACTAATGTTTTTGGTTTTGTTTCATTTTTTTTTTTACTTTGAGGTTCTCTGAGTAGCTAGAGATGCATTCACAAAGAGAAGATGCAAAACTATAGACCCCAGACCAACCATCAATATTAAGACCTTCTTGCAAGACAGAGCATTTTGCTCTCAATCTGCAGGTTTACTAGTGGTTCCTAGAATTTATAAAAGTAGAATGGGAGGCAGATCTTTTAGTTATCAGGCTCCTCTCCTGTGGAACCAACTACCAGTTTTAGTCCGTGAGGCAGACACCCTGTCTACTTTTAAGAGTAGGCTTAAAACTTTCCTTTTTGATAAAGCTTATAGTTAGAGTGGCTCAGGTTATCCTGAGCTATTATGCTGCTATAGGCTTAGACTGCTGGAGGACATAGGGACCCCTTTTCATCATTCTGCTTCATTCTATCTCTATTCTCCCACTCTGCAGAATCTGTTACAATAGTTCAATCTCTAACGTCTGCTCTCTCTGCTTTTTCTCATAGTAGCTTCATCTGGTCTGTTCCTGTTTGGCTGTGACTCCATCCTGGAGATAAATATCAGCTGTGCTGCTGCCATAAACACCTTTGTTTATAGATGTTTTTCAGTGTATTCCTGTTTCTCTGACGGTGACTGGCTGGATGTGCTCTCTTCATCATCTGACATGGGAGCTGGCTTGGAGCTTGTCTGCCAGGCTGAGTGTTTCCTTTTACAGCTGCTTTTTGTATCTCTGTTTCTGTCTCCTTGAACCCCAGTCAGTCTCAACAGATGGCCGCTCACACTGAGCCTGGTTCTGCTGGAGGTTTCTTCCTTTTAAAAGGGAGTTTTTCCTCTCCACTGTCGCTACAAGCATGCTTAGTGTGAGGGATTGCCTTCCAGTCAATGAGTCGATGCAATCAACTGGTTTTCCTTAGATAGAAAACTTTAAATCAATTTGACTGTATGATCTGGTGAACTGTAAAGTGCTTTGAGATGACATGTGTTGTGAATTGGTGCTACAGAAATAAACTGAATTGAATTGAATTGCTGGAAGGCAACAGTGCAAAAAAGCTGCAACAACATGGAGCCCCTGGTTAAAATATGTGTGAAAGAACTTGAAACTATTTGAGGTGCAATAAAACCTGCTGTCCAGGTACATGATACATAACCATGTGTGTTAATGCCACAAACACATCTCAATACATAAATAAAAACAGTGTAGAGGTCATAAAAAAAAAAACAATCTTAGTATTACTTTCGAATCTTCTGGCTTTGACTGTGGTTCAACATTATGACATGAAAAAGAGACACAGTCAACAATCAGCCAAAGTATTCAGTAATAGTTTCTTACACTACTTCTGCTTATTCACAGTTAATATGTTATTATAGTGAAAAGGATGTATAGTATAAAGGCCATGCATTCCTTTAAAGAAACTGATGAAAACTAGTTTTAACTGTAGAGTCTGTGCTCAGCAGCGCCCTCTGCTGAGCTGAAACTAATAAGTAACTAAAATAAATTGGTTTTCTAAATTACACATTTGATGTTTATTTCTATGTAGTTGTTTCTCTCTGCAGAACTAAATCCACACCTATATAAGTTTCTTTCTAATAAGTGTAGATTTTAAACAAGCTTGCACCAAAAACAAACCAAATAAAAGAAAAGAGACTGGAGGCAGCTGCAGCTTTACACAAAAACCATTTCAAAAAAAGATTTATTTTTGTAAGCAATGATTTGAGTTTACCTTTTATGATATACTTAATAGAAATTTCCTGAAGTAAGCATAAAAATGCATAATACGGTTTAATAAATGGTAGGTAATGATTAATAATGAATTATATATAATAATCAATAAATAGATAATTTGACTTATTTCCAGAAACTGGTATGGAAGGATGGAAAGATTTATTTGATAATTAATCAACTGCATTGTTTGGTTATTTATATGACACTTTAGTCTTTTTTTTGTTTTGTTTTTTTTGCTTATATTAATTCACAATTATTTTAAAAAAAAAAAACATTAATTTTATTATTATTTTTTTTTTTACTGTAAAAGGGTTTTTGATTGCATTTAAATAGAGAGTGCAAAAATAGAATACTTTTTAATATGAACATTTATTATGGTAAATTAGGCACAACTCTGACCACTAGAGGGGAGATACTGAAAAACCAGCATCAGTGTACCAAGGGTTGAGTCACTGTTAGGTTAAAACACCCAAACACTTCTCAAATAACCTGTGGAGGAAGGAAAACAGACGTTAGATTCTTTTTACCTGTGGGGAGAGACCTGGCAGAGATGTCCTACGTTACAGTCTCCTACCGCTCTCTGAAGCACTTCTGCCATCTTTATTGGTAAAAGGGAGTCCCTAGACCCTTAACCCTGACTCCTCTCCGGGTGCCGCACAATGGCAGCCCACAGCTCCTCAAGGGAATGGGTTAAATGATAAATGTGACATCAATAAAGTTTAATTATTATTATCATTAGTTGTAACAGATTACGGTGTAACTCTAAAGGAATCTAAGGGGAGTAAATTACAGCTTGATACAGTGACATGCATACATTTCTTCATGCAGGCAGTTACCTTGAGTTATACACATGAAAAACATTCAGCTCCTGCAAAGGAATACTTTCTGAAGAGTCTAATAAATATAATAGAAAGAATAAACAAGGTGAAATAAAATAGAATAGCTCCAACTATCTCACAGTGTCACTGTTAAAGGGTGATTGATCCATATTGAATCCAGTTATTTAGACCCTTTTGCTGCATTTTATTTCTCCTTCTCCTTACAAAAAATTTCCAGCCTAGACTGTCAAATAAAGTCCTTGGGCTCCATTAAAATGTCTGCAAAGGTCTGTTAAACATTGGTGGATCCAGGAAAGTTTCATGGGGTGGCCAGCCAGGGAGAAATGTTCACTGAGGGGCGGCTAAAGACTAATAGCCACTGTAACTAGTTCAGGGTCAAACTATACTGATCACATGATCAGTCAGAAAAATGAACGCACACATCTCCATTTTCCAAACAAATCACTAAAGACAGATTAAATTTTCATTTGGCCCATTTTAATAAAGCTATAGGTGCATATTTATACATCAATTTATGGTTCTACACAATATATAAATTAAATGGGTTGAATAATTGTTTTTTTTGTTTTTTTAACTACATCAAATACTCCTATGTGACTGCAGAGAGAAACTCTCCCCTGTAAAACCTTAAAACTAATTATTAAAAAAGCCTCAATTCTGTTATAGTCCCCTTTATTTGTATTAAATTATTTTCAATGATTGTTAGTTTCTGGTTCATTTACTAAATATAAAATGTCAAAGAAGAACATTCAGTAGTGATGGTATCACTCCTGCTGCTTTCTGGTTTAGATGAGCCATATGGAAACAACAAATCACCTAGTAGGGGTGGCCAATGGGGGCCATGGTCATGGTCCCCCGACCTCCTCTAGCTCCGCCCCTCCTCTCATGCACTGACTATTTTAGACTATTTTAACCTGAAAAAGCCTTTCCTACTCTGACTGCTTCAAGTCAAGACTCACATCTTCTCAAGCATAAATCTTTTTACTTAAGATATGATGGTGGCCCCCATGTTATGTCGTCCAGAGTAGAAATGCCTCTTTCTAACGTTTTTTATTTTATTTGTTTGTTGTTGTTTGTAGCTCGTGGGAATTAATGTCAGAGTAAATATTATATATATTTACTCTGACATTAATTAATAATATGACATTAACAAATTATATATATATAATATATTAATATATATATATACAGAGATGGGAAGAAACAAAGTACAAATACTTCGTTACTGTACTCAAGTAGATTTTTCTGATATTTTTACTTTACTACTTATTTTTATGGCGACTTTTTACTTCTACTCCTTACATTTTTACACAAATATCTGTACTTTCTACTCCTTACAT